GGCGAGGCCGGGCCGGGGCACGAGGACACGCGGGCCGCCGTGCTGCTCTCTGCGCTCCAGCTCCGGCGAGGACCTGCTTCCTGCAACCTGCTCGCTGCTCTGCATCCTCCTCCCGCTCTCCCGAAGCGCCCTCCCCGGTCCCCACCCCCTCACGCCCCACCCGCGGGGACGCGGCCTCGGGAATTCAGGGGAGTGGCTGTGGGGGCGCGTCGCGGCTCCTGGCTCCCGGCTCGGCCAGCCCCCTCTTCCAAGACATGGTCAGGTCCCCATTGTAAAAGCTGCACCCCAGAGAGGAGAGAGTGGTGTTCCAGGCTCCGGGCTGCCAGGGAGCTGAAGCTTTTGCATTACTGCTAGGTGGGGCGAGTAGGGCCCAGGATTTGGGGGGAGTTGGGGGGGCGGGGAGGAGGACCCGAGGTGGGCAAAAGGACTCTGCGGGGGGAAGTCGGTGAGAGACTATGGGGAAGGACCAGGAGCTGCTGGAAGCTGCTCGAACTGGAAATGTGGTTCTGGTGGAGAAACTCCTGTCTGGCAGGAAAGGAGGCATCCTGGGCGGCGGATCGGGACCCCTGCCCCTGTCTAATCTGCTAAGGTAAGCATGGGGACCAGCTCCTGGAGATTGCATACCCCGTTCTGCATTGTGATGGATACAGTCTCCTCCTCATGGCATTTGCACCTGGTGGCAGCCAGCGATTCATTCTTAAATTAGGAAAACAGACTGTGTGTATGGAGAGGAAGCATGAGATTCTCTGAGTAATTTTAAAATAGCCTTCCATCAATGCGTCAGTAGCTACTTTTTTCACCCCCCTCCTGAGCTGTGGTGCAGAACTTGCCCATGTACTAGTGTTCCTTGCAGAAAAATCACCTTTCCACCCGCTTTCCATCAATGCTTATTACATATTTTCAGCTTCAAACTCAACCCAATTGTTATTACTATTATTTGGTCTATTCAGATAGAATTGGCAGAGAAGCTGCTTCATGCATGCAATTACCCTGCAGAAGGCACAGCCTTTTGGGGACTGCTATCTAGTCTTGCAAGAGGCATTTGCTGTGGGTAGAGGGTTGGGATCCCGCAAAATGAAAAAAAGTGAATCCTGTGATGAGATGTCAGCCGTCCAGGGTGTGTGTAAAACTTGATGAGGCCGCTTGGGCCGCCCCAGCAGGACCTGCAGCTATCTGGGTACAACTGCTTGAAACTTGGTTATTAGATCTCAGGTTCAAGGATGGCCGGCAAGTCAGAACTGGAGTCATGTGTGTACATGGACTGTGTAGCAGGTGCGCTTCATACTGGCTGAAGAGTCTAAGATGACATTTAAAAAAATGTCAAGGTCTTTATTCAGCAGGCAGTACTTTAACAGGAACGGGCTTGATTAGCAGCGTATTTGAGAAACTATCACTTTAAAAGGTGAATGAAAGAGCAAATGAAATCAAATGGGAAGAAGAGCCTTTGCTTTAGATAAACAGGTCTTTAGTTGCTGAGTTTAGGGTTGTTCAGTTTATCTTGGATAATTTTTTTTTGAGGTATCCATCATATCCTTACTGTAAAACATTTCTGAAGCAGTGATTCTGTACTTGTTAAAAAAAAAAAAAGGTAAAGCCCAATTGCTATTTTTTGGTTTTCAAAAACTGTTGAGTGCAGCTCTTGACAAACACTTAGTGCAAACTTTTGGGTGATGACATTGTGATCTTTACACAAGTTGTTCGAGTTGTAGCGGTCAGGCAATGCAATTACAGTACCAGTTAATAGAGAAAGAGAAAACATTTCTATCACAGTGAAATAAATTTAGCTGGAAAATAGCTGATGGAAGATTAAAAAGGTCCATATATTTGTTGACAGGGACATGTAATTGCAATGACATTTCACTTCAGAACAGTGAATATTATGGGACTTTTTTCTTATTTATGGTAGGTCTTAGAAGTGATAACTCTTATGTGTACTCTCTTGTTAAATAATATTCATTCTCCAACACAAGTTGATAGTGTGTACGTATATTATAGTACAACTCTGATGATTGTGCACTTAGTCGTGGGTAATTGACAGAAAACCCATTTACTTGGTTATAGTTTTTAAGTTCCAGGTAGAAGAAATATTTTTGCCAGTACATCACATCAGTGGTAAAAATAACTATGGCCAGACATATAATTCTGGAAGAGGCTTATAAAAAAAGATCAATTTTCTTTGGAAAAATACTAAAGAATTCTTTGGGAACACAAAACAACATCAGTTATTAATTTAATAACTGAGATATGGATTTTAAAGTCCATAATTAACTATTAACTATATTTGTGACACATTTTAAAAGCAAATATCTTTTAAATATTCTTTTCCTTTTTTTTTTTTTTTAAGGATCTCTGGTGTCATAATGCTTGACTACTAACTTGAAAAGTTGGCAGTTCGAACCGAATAGCGGCTCTGCTGGATAAAGATGAGGCAGTCTGCTTTCAGAATAATTCACAGTCTTGGAAACCTCTATGGGGCAGTTCTGTCTAGTCTTATAAGGCATCCATGAATTGGAACCAACTTGACAGCAGATTTTTGGGTTCCCATTTGGGAAAAAAATGGTAATAATTTTTAAAGATAAAATACTATTTAATGATTAGACAGTAAACAAAGCATCAAAGTTGTGACCCAGTTTTGCTGCTTTTGTCAGAAGTAGCAGTGGTAACTCTACAGCCTAACTCTACAGCCTAGGAGCGTAATGCAAACAATATAGCAGCATCGTGGGTCCATTAGAGTAGATTATACCAAGTTGGAAAACTCACACAGCAGCCCAGGAACGTTTGGATGGCATTTTGTGTATCTCATTTCACATAAACAACTGAGACGGTGTCCTTGAAGAAGAGGAGACCTGAAATGATAGTCTTTGGATGATTCTTTGCACAAAATCAAAGCTCTCGGAGGGACACCTTTTACTCAGTTTTCACTTTATGTCACAAAAAAAATGCCACCGGAAAGGAATTTACAGGGTAATGTAAAATCTGCCTCTTCATATCAAATTACAGGATGGTCTTGGATTTTTAAAAATTATTTTGCAATAAATGATGAAATAGGTTTGGCGGTAGCACTCTGTGCTGTTGTTTGTGTTGGATTTTACTAGGGTGAAACACTGTGCTGTATGGCTGCGTGTTTCACCTCAGTCAGGTCTGATGTCAATCTGAAGAGGGCTAGCCTCATTTCACAGGTGAAATAGATGGAATGATAAAAAGTTAACCCGAGATCACACAGTGACAGCAGAGACATGAGATTCTGGGGCTCACGTTTTCTCTACCATGCCTTATGTCCTTGTCACTGCATCTGTTTTATTCCTAAAAGTTTAAGGTTTAAATTGTATTTAGATAGTCTAGTCTGGGAATTTTTCTCTTCTTCTAGGAATAGTAATTTATTAAAAATCCTTGATTTAATTTAAATTTTTACTAATTAAAAAAAACACTTCCTGACTTTCCCTGAAGGGCTCACTAGATAAGAATTTTTCTGAAGATTGATTATATGCTACCTACTAAGTGAACAGTAGCTATATTATAGGGAACAAGATATCCTGTGTGACACAACAGTTTTTAGCAAAACTAAATCTGAACTGGAGTAAATATTAAAAATATTACTAAGCTTCACTTATCTCTAAAAAGGAGTAGTTGTTAAGCACCGTAGAGTTGAAGACGACTCAAAGCTGACCCTCCAGCAGGTTTTCAGAGGCAATAATTGCATACTTTGGGCACATGGCCAGGAGAGACTGGTCCTTGGAGATGGACATCATGCTTGAAAGGTTGAAGGGACAGTATAGGAGAAGATGACCCCAGATGAGATGGATTGATACAGTAACTTGATCTATCAGTTGGTGTATTGGAATTAGTGAGACTGACTCAAGACAGGGTTCAGAGCTGCTGTACACATTGTTGCTAGGAGTCGCAGACAACTCGATGACACATAACAACAGTAACAACAAATTGCTTGGGAGGAGATTGCCATCTTTCTGCATAGTAGCTGATGGATTCCAACCAGATACTTTTGGGTTGACAACGCAACTTCTTAGTAGTAAGGTACCAGAGCCCTGAAGGGAATAACAGTATCTTTCATATAGGAGTATTGTAAGGATTACCAGAAACCCAAACCTGCTGCTTCTGAGTTGATTTCATCTCAAGATTCTATAGGACAGAATAGAACTCTCCCCTATAGGTTGTCCAAGGTTCTTCTAAGAATTAGCAAGCCCCTAAGCCCACTACCACTGTGTGTTTCTGACTCACAGTGACTCTATAGGATGGAATTGAATTTCTCCATAGAGTTTCCAAACACTACCGAAACCTACGGCAACATTTTTCTCCTGGGGAGTGGCTGGTGAGTTCAAACCTTCCGCCTTCTGCTTAGCATTTGAGAGCTTTAACCCCTGCACCAATAGAGCTCTGTTGTAAGGATTGATGATGTTGTTGTGTACCATCTAGTGGGAACCAACCCATAGCTGACCCTCCAGTGGGTTATCAGAGGCAGTTAATCAAATGGGAGATTACCATCCTTCTCCCGAGGAGCAGCTGGTGGAGCTTCTTTCCACTAAAGCAGTTAGTACAAAGGTGCTCTTGATTAGTGCTATTATTATTTCTTATGTTTCTCTAATGCACTCCACTCCATTTCTTAAGGCCTTAATTACTAAAGATCTGCTTTATATTGTACTGGGAGTAAATTTCTCTCTGAAGTTTTCTGTGCAATCACAGACTCGTTAGGAAGAAGCCTTTTAATCTAGCTTCTGACCTTGTGCTGGAATTTCCTCTGTAACATCCCCTACCAATTAGTTATTCTTGCCTGTTTATACTGCTAATGACGAAATTAATTCTAGTTTTTTGAAAACTATGTTGAAAAATTGTATTACCAGACTAGACACTACCTTCCTGTGACTCCCATTATTGATACTGACTGTTACAGGTTTGTGAAAAGTAGGTCTAACTGATCTGCCAGAAAAATTATTCTGGTATATGCATTGAGCTATATAGTTTCTTATACATTTTGCCTTTTTTGCATGGAACTACCATCATGTCCTCATTGCCTTCTCCCTTCTGTCATGTGGCAATAGAACATTGGTATAGGTGTTAAGAACTTGTGTTTTCATACCTCTTACTACCCATTCTTCCTTTCTTTGCATACTCATAATTTTCTCAAAGATCCTCTTAAAATAGTGCCAGAAGTGAACAAAATGCACTATATGTTGTTTGACCAGAATAGAACATTCTGGGACTCAATCTGCTTTTGGGTTTAAAAGAGTAGGTTATGTTGTTGTAAAAATAGAAGGATAACTAGGGTGGGCACTCAAGGGGTGGGGAAGGGGTGGGAGCAGAGGGATGAGGATGAGCAGGGGGAAATCACAGGGCCACACAATTTGTGGGTAGAGGAGTGGGTTAAAGCAAATAGGAAAGATCGACAGGGATCTGGAAAGAGGGAGTAAATAGTTCAATGGTGATTAATTTTTAAAAAAAACACAATGGATGGGAATGATTGTATGAAACAATGTGAGAGAAGGATAGTGTGAAACACAATGTTTACTAACTTTGTATGCAAACCAGTGTAAAATAAAAATTAAAAAAAAGAGTGGCTTAAAAGACTTTATGATT